TGCGACGATGATGTCATCCAGACAGGCACCTATCACTGAATCCAATGCCGTCTGGAACGTGGCGCACGCCGAGTGCAGACCGAAGGGCATCACCTTCCACTGGTACAGCCCTGGGACCGTAAACGCGGTTTACTGCCTGCTACCTCTCCATGGGGGTCTGCCAATATCTTTGCTTCAGATCCAGCGTCGATATGTATCGCGCGTTCCGTAGGCGCTCTAAAATGTGGTTTATCCGGGGTACTGGGTATGCGTCCGGGATCGAATGTGCATTGAGCTGCCTATAGTCGATGCACATTCGCCATTGCCCTGTCTATTTCACCAGTACAATCAGCGCACTGTACGAGCTTCGGGACGGCACGATTGCGCCCGTCCGGAGCAATTACTCTACTTGCTTGTCGATGACTTGCTGCATCGCCGGGCTCCTTGGGTAGTACCTCTGCTTGATGGGCTCGTTGTCCTTGATTACAATACGATGACACACCCTTCAACTCCTCGAATCGCGCCAACTCCGCCTCCATAAGCATCTATAGGCTGGGCTCCAGGTCTGCTGGCCAGATGTCCTCGCTGCCGGGACTCTCCTCTCCAGAGTCTTCACCACTACCCTTCACCTCGTGACTAGTTCTCGCGGCAGGTTTTTCTCCCGCGAATAGTTCACCTGCTTGCACGACTCGTTCTAAGTTACGAGGTTGATCCTCCTGCCCGTTGGATCCAGCCACCCTCCCCAGCTTCGCGCTCTCTTAGGAGCTGAGCGGAGCTGACCTCCGTCGTCGCCTGTCCTTCGACCCTAATCTCTATTGAGTCCTCCTTACGCTCCTGTTTCCGGTCCTTTGCCGGCGCTCTAGGCGACCCCGGGTTGTCTGACCGCGGTTCTAACGGCAGGCGCCCTGGACGCTCTCCTATCGTCCGAATGCGCCTTTACTGGCACCCTGGACACACCCTGATTACTCGACCCTGCCTCCGGGATTCTCTCCGCGGGACGGACTGCTGCCCCTGCCGAATTCCTAACCTTGCCGCCGGGATCAGCTCTGCAGGCAACCCGTCGCCCCTTCCCTGGTTCCCAGTCTTTCCGGCGTTCCTAGCGTCATCTCGCTGTCCCTACAACGTATGGTTGTGCCTATCGTACGGAGAAAATCTATACCTAGAATCACTTAATCTAGCATTGATGCCTTTAGTAGTAGAGGCACGTCGATTGTACGTCCCGCTAAGCTGATTTTCGCGTGCACCATCCGTGCGTCATCTAGCCCCGATCCGTCCGCTAGCCGTATCCTAGTTTGCACCTCCCCAATCTCAACGTCCTTCACCACCTTCGCCGCGCAGGCCCCACTAATGAAAGACCGGGTAGCTCCGGTGTCGATCGTCGCCGATTCTGACCGCCGATTCTGACTCGCGACGACACGACCCGGGCTCCGTTGACATCGCTGCCAATCCTCTCCCGGTCCGCATGGTGCCGCTGCCCGTTTTCCTGAGCCGTTCGTCTATAGCATTCATGGCTGCTCACCCTTCTGGTTCCACATTGCATACAAAAGACCGCCTGAGGGTTGGGACATTACCTCCTAAAATGCCCCTCTCGCCCACATCGAAAGCATATCGGGCGTCGCCTGGCTGTCCCTCCAGATTCCTGATTCCAATCATCCTGTTGGCAGCCTCTTCTCTCGGTGCCGGTAGTGCCCTTGGAACCGCCCCACTGAGAGCCACCCCGCCGACTGGCGATGAGACTACTCTGAACCGGTTGTTTATGCCGGTCGTTGTATGCGTTTACCCGTCGCCTAGATACGTGCTCTTGCTATTCCCTAGCCGAGATCGCGAACCAAATGGGTATAGTTGACCCTGCTGTTTTATCCCTTCGTATTCGACGGCTAGCTGTATGAGCTTCGACAACGATGAGAAATCTTGTCTCCGCACATAAAATTTATACTCTGGGGCTGCGTTGTCGTATATCCTACTTAGTTCCCTCTCCGGGCTGTAGCCAGCGTGGTGCATCAATGCCCTTATGTCCACCACATACTGCTTGAATCCTTCGCCATCTCGTTGACGACGAACCCGGATTTCGTCTTCTAATAGTTCAAAGTATCGCGGGGGCAAAAAGAAATCTAGGGATCCCTTCTTGTATTCATCCAAGTCTTCGACCCGCCCTAGGTCGCTCAACCCGAACTCGCGAATGATTTACTCCAGCTCCTCCTTTCGTCGCAAGTGGACCCAACGCACGCCCACCCTTGGATTCTGACACTTACCCGTATCTCTTATCTTTGTTGAACTTATGACAGAGCTTCGAGTTTCGTTTCCTTATCTGGGTTGTATTTCTGTCTCCGTAAGCCAGCCTGTCCTTATTGCTCGCCTAGTTCCGATTCTTTTATTTTAATTATTTTTATTTTGATTTTATTTTTGTTTTTAATTAATTTTATAATTTTGTTTTTAATTATATTTATTTTTAATTATTTTATTTTTAACTAAATTTTTTTTTTATTATTTTATTTTTATAAATTTTGTTTTGTTTATTTTTACTATTTTTATTTTTTTAATTTTATTTTGATTAATTTTATTTTTAAATAATTTTATTTTTAATTAATTTTATTTTTATTATTACAGTAACTTTTCGCTGCACTCGTTCACTCTTTCACCGTTTTACCATGTTCATTCTCATGGGCCACTCTCGCTTTGAACACAAAAAAAAACGCAAAAAAAAACCTTAGCGCACTTGTCTCGTCCCAGTTCACCAGTGAGCGCAGACTCTAGCGCGCTTGAACGAATTCACTCGCTCAGCGAGAAGTTTTATGGCAGTCCGTTAGTTTTCCGTGTCTCTTCTTTGCTATTTTCTCTCATGCAGTCACTTGCCTGCCTGCACGTGTGCGTTTGCTGATGACACCCCAGTGGGACTTTTGATGTTACCTTTTCTATGCCGCGGGCAGCTAACTTCTCAGCTAACCCTGCCTTTTTGACCCTGAATCCACTCTGGTGGCACTTACGGGGGCTTTTAGGCCACGTTAATACCATGCCTCTACGCCTAGGGTCCCTGTTCGGGCGCCACTTGTAAAGTAGTAACTTGGCCGGGGTGATAAAACTCAATCTTACCAGGTCACTCTACAAGAAATTTGTAGTTTGCCGAGACGTAATGCTGAAAAGGGGGGTTTAGAGAACTGTTGGGAAGACTCCGCCACAGAGGGATTTATATCTTTTGGATGAGGGAAGGGAACCGCTGGACTCACTCCGCTGTAGTTAGGTTAGGGTAGATCAGCGTGATGGGTGCTGCTGGGATCACTCCGCCGCAGAATAAAAAAGCCTCCAAAACACACATCGCTATACGGCCTATGCCGCCAACTTGTACAAAATAATGTAAACACCGATCAAATTCGTGAATTATAATTCGCACTTTATTTATTCGACTTTCCCTCCTGCACCGTCACTTCTTATTTCTTTCTATCCTCGCGGCTTGTACTTACTTTCGCTGAATTCCAAGTGCTCCTGCTGCTCACCTTCAGCAGCTCACAATCCTTTTTCGCCCTTTTCGCTCTCCGGCGAAAACTCTCTCGCAAGCATTCACTCTCTTCTACTCCTACTGTTAACATTTTAGGAGTCAGAGTTGCTTATGATTAAATTTACATTATAATTGGCTCCTCTTAATTCCTAATAAATCCACTCCTTTATTTTCTTAATGATAAGTTTTCTATTTCATATATCAACTACATTTGTTTGACACTTATTCTACGATTATTTATGATTGTTTATAATATTGGTGGGTCTATTGTGACTCCGCGTCACAAAATGATCAGTACGATAAGGTAAAGTAGGAACAGCTTTCGATACACACTTTGGGTATGCAACCGGGTATTTAATAGTTAACTTAAATTTTTAATAAATATAAAAATTATAAAATGCTGATGTATTATTTAGTTTAATCGTCATGTTCTAATACCTCGGCGTGAAAGACGCTGCAGTATTCAGAAAGGCTTAACTATATTGTGATATTGTTCTCGCTGAGTTATACCCACAGCTAACCGGTTGTCTAATTTAGATCCCCCGAGTTGGGCCGGGAGATGTTTGTTTTCATTGAGAATGGACGAGTGGCTCATTTTACAAATTGATGCCAGCATAGCAAGCGCTTTGCTAAATTGTCCTAGATGTTGGAAAACTTTTGTTGGACTCTTTTTAACGCATCTAAAAAGATGTTAATAGCAAAACCCATTAGGCTGGCGTTTGATAAGATAAGAGAAACCATGTTAAAATTTTGCGACGCATTCAAAAATTTGATAGCTATAATGTTTCTATTATAATGGTTTTTTTGTCTTAAACTTTTACATTGCTTAATATTAATTCATCTTTAATGCTTCACACAGGGTTCGAATATACAATATTTTGCTATACAAAAATAGAGCTAAATAATATATTTGTCCGAATATATTTGTAGATATTATGTAAATGTACACAAATTGAGCAAGCATAATAATTTTTTCAATGAAATAAACAACAACCTTTTCTTTATTTGACAGATGGCAATTGAATGGTACAATTATGTAAATGTCATTGATGATATGCTGGCCACTGCGTTCTTAACGAGTGCTCGAAATTCATTAAGTATGGTATGCTCAGCTCTACATCGTGAAACTGATATTGCAGCATCTCCTGTTCTTGTTATGGAGTCTGATATTAAAGAACGGCGTATTGAACTATATCCTAGCATGGATAATGTAGCCGATTTAATAAAAGGCATTATTTATAGAATGCAAGGTATACTTCAACAATTTCCCCGTGTTGGGAATAAAATGAAATTGCCTAAGGAACAACAATCTAATCCATTTCCAAAAGTCTTTCGGGAAGATGCAGAGTGTATAGATCTGATTTTCAACGTAGAAGCTGAAGTTAGGCATCAACGTGAGGAAGTCGACCGATATATTTCTTTTTGGAATTGTCACCGAGCATTATGGGAGACAACTGAGAGTACATTTATTAAGCGAGTAAAGGCTACCGATCTCACAGCGGATGTTTTTGAATCGTTTATTAAGTACTATAGCACTTTAGCTGACGACATATCGTTTGTTGATGCTATATCGCATGTGTACTTCATCCTAATGAATCAAAACTATATAAAAAATTCTATACTTGACTATATAGAGAAGTGGCAGACATTGAACATAAAAATTCTGTTAAGTCATTCGTTTTACTTGATACGAGGTAAGTAAACGTTTTATTACCTGCATCCATTTAAATGGATAAGAAAATACACTTTTGTTTCACAAGGTCATGGGTGCAATATGGACGGAAAGTGATGTGTTCAGATTATCAGTATCAACATGCGAGTCGATCTAAAACAGCCATGGTCGTCAATTTTTGTTTCGTAGATTCTCTTATTGAAATATTTTATTGGCGCATTAGTATAACGTACGACAGTTTCAAATCATAAAAAATTTCTACTTGAATGTCCTTGAATTTAATATCCCTTTGTTTATTTTGTGATCAAAGTGTGTCGCATAGAAGAAGACATCTTCCACCCAATAAGGAATAAATATTCTAGATCAGCATCAACAATTGTGCTGATATTGCCATGACCGTTTGCCAAGGTTATAATATGCTCTTCATATATACCACATGATATTAATATCGGTCTACTATATCATATAGCTTGCATACCAACAATCAGTCGAAAATTAAGATCTGTATGGAAAATTTGTTTGTTCAAAAAAAATGTATTGATCACATATGGCTTTTATTAGGGAGAATCGTCGATGGGCTCGTTTTGTTGTCAGTTTATCGAATGATTTCTAAAGTTCAACAAGAGCTTATGGTAACTTACCCTTTTAACTAAGCATAATTATGTTAATGGCTAATATACTCGTAGAGCGCGTGTGGAGGCATGGTAAGCGCTTATGCCGTAAGATGGCATAAGTCGATAGACGTCAAGTGACTGATCATATTACATTTGGTCGTGCCACTGACTTGCGCTTATGTTTGATGTATTTAGAATATTATATTTACTTTGGGGCTCAAAGGAAATATCACGGAAGAGTACTGTTTCATTAGTATTTGTTCTATTTAATAGTCGGTTGTAAGTGGTTGAACTCCAATACATGCTCCAAAAAACATACAATTTTTATACCCTGAACCCATTAGAAATAATAAAGAGGGTAAATGTGTCAGGCAGAAAAAAGCATCTCCGACCCCATATAGTATATAAATTAAGAAGTTGCCGTCCCGCGCTGTTGAAGGAAGCGCAGTCGGCCGCTGTCCATAGTATCTCGCAGGCAATATGCGAGGAGATTGTAACAAGTCTTCTTACGATGATTTTGTTGGGAGCTTCACTTCGCTCTCTTATCGCTGGCCTTGTGGCTCAGTGATTGTATCAATAATAAGAAAGTATGTTATAACGGCAAAGCCGGAGCAAGTATATTTATTGAAAGTCAGATACAAACTAAAACTGAATTGAATTATTGAATTAGATTGTACCCAAAGGCTGGGCGCATAAGTATCAGCTGCTATATCCGGCAAGCCGAATCAGCATACGCCAACACAGTCGGGTTAGCGCTGCTGGCCGCAGTGGCCGGGCACTGAACTCATGCGTCAGCAGAATGTCGCGATGTCAGCAAAGGGCACTGCAACATTCTTGCGTATTTATAAACCAAAGTGTGTTCTTATGACAAATACGAAGTGCAATTCTTATGAGTTAACTACTTCCCCTCAAGCTTCTGACCGTCCTCAGTTATTTTATAGCTGTTAATGGCCTTCTGTACCTCCTTCGATGCTTGTTTGCAATTTGTTACAATTTGCCAAACGATGAAAAAGCCAATGCCAACGATACTGAGGATGACGCCTGCTGTAGTCCAGTTTTTATGTGACCCGGCGGCCTTCAATTCGTCCTCGAAATTTTGGATGACGCGCCCGGCGATCTAGTTAACATGTCGCGCTGGTTTACATACTTTGTGCCGTTGATTGCGGCCGTTACGCATTCATTAACCGCTAGAATCTATTTGTCGCATTCGGCTATGGTATCATCTTGTAGCTGTAGTGTGACGAGTTGGTGTGCCACCGGGAAGATAGTGAATTTCTTGCATATGAGCTTGACCCTAGGATAAGCTATTAATATATGGACAATGTTCTCGGACTGGAGGACCTTTATTTTAGACGCTTCGGTTAGGCTAACTATGGGAACTTCGACTGGGTGTTTATTTATAATTGATTTCAAATCATCGTGATCACAAATAGTGGGATTTATTATACCCGCTTTAGCTATTGTAATTGTGAGTACCAAGTTCGATATTGGATTTATTAGTATTCTGTTACTTGCTAATAGTGTCATACAAATGCGGCGTGTCAACCAATTCATTTCTTTAAGCTTTAAATATTTCGTTCACTGTGTCGGTGTGTTTATTAATTTGTGTCTGTGTTTGTGTATTAATGACTACCTGCCTATTGTTCGCATCAATTAAATTTGACTCAAAATCACCTTACTTTTTCGAAATCAGAGGCGTCTGGCGTGCTTGCTATTACCTTGAGTGCTGAACCCAAGAAGTCTAAACTTCTTGGCATTCTGTGGTGCACATCTATAGATTTCTGATATGCTCTGTATCCAATTCTAGCAGTTCTCGCATGTGCGACTGAGGGAATAATTTGGATAATTTTACTGTTTCATCTGCTATGCTAGCGAGGTATGTTAAAGTGCTTGAGTGCTTCAGAAAATCACGTTGCTCCCATACCAGTACCTTTCCGTCGATTACTGGGATAAAGTTGGAGTGGAAGTAGTCGATAATCCGAACATGTATAACTCCTAACACTAGTAGGATTGCAAGTCCAATCCTGTAAAAATAAAAGAAGCACAGAATGGAAATTGTTATGCGCTTAAACTTTTAACATGCTATTTTAGCCCGTGTGATTTTTACTTGAGAGCATCAATCATTTGAGGTTGTCCTTATGGACCACTCTCCATAAGAACAGACGTTCCCAGGTCTGCTTGAATTGTTTCTTCTGTGCAAAGCGGTGTTAACTTATTTCCTAATCTTCTGTTATTTTTACGAAAACTTGTTCGCTTACCTCAAATACCCTGTTTTGTCTATTCGGGTTGGATCTTTCAATGCTATCGTGCTGGGCCTTTGCAATTTTATTTTAAGTTCGTTAGACGCTGCGTGTATTATGTCGATGGGTGTCTGGTCTGTGACCGAATGTATGGACCGGTTGTACGCGATTGTTGCCCTTAGTATCAATTCGACTGTATCGTCAGGCATTTTTAGGCTAAATGCTCTGACTATGTATGCGAGTGTGCTGTGAAAACGTTCGACCTGGCCATTTGAGCAACTGTGTAGTGGTGGCGCGTTACAATGTCGACTTCGTACCCGTTTTTTAACAGCGTCCTGATAGTTTCTGAATTAAAAGAAGCTTCGTTATCGCAATAAATTGTCTTGGTCTGTGGGAATAAATTCAACAGCTGAATAATGGGCGGTTTTACATCCATTATTGTGCGAACGCCAGTGGTTGTACTAAGGCGAATTTTGAGAACTTGTCAATGCAAGTAAGAAATATTTTTTGGTCAGTTGAAAAGATATCAATGCGGTGTATTTCTCCAGCGTATGATGGAATTGGTGTCTCACCAAGTATTTGTTTTTTGGGGTGCCTATCGTACTTTGCTTTAGTGCATATCTGGCAATTTGTTACTATTTTGTTGGCCAACTTCGTCTATTGTGAAAAATTGTAATCGCGAAGGATTTGTTTACTATTTTTCTGGGCGGCTCTGTGCGGTTATGTTCGGTGGTGACAATTTCGACTTGTTCATTTTCATCTGTAATGTCGACCACGATATTTTTGCAGTGCCAGAATTTGGTTGTGGGAAAGTTTAGTACCAAATCATGTAGTATACTGGCTAGTGCTGGTAAATGCGTTTACCGCTTCAGTGTTGATGAGGGGCTTAATTGTTTCGAATAGGGTATTTATGACTGTTAAGTTTATTAGGTGGCGTATTTTTTGGCCAGATAGTATGATAACTCGTTTCAATGGAAATTTCGCTTCTTCAAGAACAATTTGACTTTTGAAACAGTTTAACGGTTTTTCAGTCGTTTCGACCGTGTAGGTCAATGACAATTCGCTGTGAATCGCTGCAGCGTCTGACTGTATATTGTTTTGTAAGGCGTTTACATTTTGACGAGACAGGGCATCCGCCACCTAATTTTCTTTGCCTGGTTTGTAGAAATCTTTTGCGTTGTGTGTCCATCAATACATGCCTTCCATCGTTTGATTTTTGCATTCGTGTTTCTATCTGAGACAGCAAAAGTAAGGGGCTGATGGTCAGTGCCAAGAGCTCAGACAATGGCCAACAATTCTCGCCCATTTGTGGCGTAGTGTGTCTCGATTTGCTTTAGCGTGCGTAAAATCATGAAAAAAGGTCTGCCCCCTTGGGATAGGACTGCACCGACGCCATCCATTGAGGCGTCAGTAGTTAGGTCAAAGGGCTGCTTGAATTCTGGGTACATAAGTATGAAATCTTCTGATGCCAGGATATTCCTCAGTCTTTAGAAGGCATTACGTTGAGTTTCGTCAAATTCAATCGTGACCTTTTTGGACATATGTTTGCTCACCGAGCCATTTTCTCCATTTAGAATATTGGTTAGAGGCCTTGCTATTGCTGCGAAGTTCTTAATAAGCCCCCTGTAGTAACTAGCTAGCCCCAGAAATGATCGCAGTATACTCTTGTATCGCTCTGACCTTGTCAGGGTCAGTCTTTGCCCCGTTTTGGGTCACCACAAAGCCTAATAATTCGACGCTCTCTTTAAAGAACTTTGTTTTCTCTTGTACTACTCTCATGTTGGCATCGGCCAAGCATTTTAAGATTGTGTCAATGTGTTGCACATGGTCAATTTCGTTTTTAGAAAAGATTATTGCGTAATCCAGGATGTCACCGATGGCTCTTTGAAAAACTCAACTTTGTACCCTAAATATATATATAGGCACTATATTATAGACGCACTAAAGCATCATTCGAAAATTATGTTCTTTTATGGAAAACTTTATTCTAATTATTATATCTTTTAGAAAAACGGATTTTGTTAGTGCCACTGTGCTCCTTACATATATACAAATTCTTATAAACATAAGACTACTAATTCTTATAGTTTTCATAGGAACGATCGGTCAAAAATAATGTACTTGTAGGTTCTACTTTTTAGTTTATGAAGATTTTTTGACCAAAATGGGAATTTATTAATTTCACTATGCTCCTCAAATGTGTGTCGTGATCAAACTTGGAATTTGGTAGTTTCATTATTCTCCTTATATTCAAACCAAATCCCGTTAACATAGAACTGATATATCCGAAAGCTGCCGATCGATCGAAAATTAAGAACTTGTATGAAAAACTCTTTTGTTCTTCAAGATATCTTGAGTAACCTTGGAAGCTTTAAGTTTTATTATGCACCCTAAATATATGCAAAAACCTATCAATATCAGAC